CTTGAAAAAGCAGTTGCAGCACAGGTCCAAGCTCACCTTAGTAATAATAACTTATATGAGTGTTTTCAGTCAGGATTTCGTCCCAAGCATAGTACCGAAACCGCCTTGGTGAGAGTAACAAATGATCTGTTAATGGCTGCTGATGGTGGGTCCTTATCTATTCTTGTTTTGCTTGATTTGAGTGCAGCTTTTGATATTTCACACAATATTTTATTAAACTGTTTATCTGCTATTGTTATCTCTGGTATTCCTCTCGCCTGGTTTACTCCATACCTTTCCAATCGCACACAGTTCGTACAATTAAAAAGTTTTCATTCCCATCTCTTTTCTGTTAGCTGTGGCGTCCCCCATGGTTCTGTCCTAGGTCCTCTGTTGTTCCTAATCTATCTTCTCCCACTTGGTAATATCTTTTCTAAATTTGGTATTAAATTTCACTGTTACGCTGATGATACACAACTTTATGTATCTACTAAGCCTGATTCCATTCTTCCACCTATCTGCCTTATTAACTGTCTTCATGAAATAAAAACCTGGTTCTCCGCCAATTTTCTTAAACTTAATGGCAATAAGACTGAAGTACTCCTTGTAGGCACTAACTCTATTCTCTCTAGGTCCTGTAGTCTTTCTTTATCCATTGATGGTTCCTCTGTTTCTCCTTCTTGCCAGGTTAAGAACTTGGAGGTCATCTTTGACAGCATTCTTTTATTTGAGGCTCACATTAATAGTATAACCCGGTCTTGTTACTTTTATCTCCGTAATATTGCTCGCCTTCGTTCATCTCTCACCCCACACAGTACTGCCACTCTAGTTCACTCACTTGTCACCTCTCGCATCGACTACTGTAATTCTCGTTTATTTGGTTTACCACACAAGCTTCTCCATAAACTCCAGTTGGAGTGGAGGCTTCAGCAGACTGACTCTCTTAAACGAGAAGAAGCCTAACAACACTCAACCCTAGTTGAGGAGCTCTTAAGAGTGGAGGTCTCAGCATGACGACTCCCTGAAGTGAGAGGAGACCTAGCTACACTCAACGCCAGAGGCAGTTAGTGAGGCTCAAAAAGAAAGAGCCTACAACTCATATTACTGCCTAAGCGGAGCTCCGGGGAGCGGAGGCTTCAGCAAGACGACTCTCTTAAACGAGAGGAAACCTAACAATGCTCAGCCCTGGTAGGGGGACTCTTAAGAGTGGAGGTTTCAGCATAACGACTCTCTAAAGCGAGAGGAGACCTAGCTAAACTCAACGCCATAGGCAGTTAGTGAGGCTCAAAAAGAAAGAGTCTATTAACTCTTATTACTGCCAATGATAAGGCTTCAGCAGAATGACTCTTAAACGAGAGGAAGCTTAACAACACTCAATCCTAGTTTAGGAGCTCTTAAGACTGGAGGTCTCAGCCTAACGACTTTCTAAAACGAGAGGTGACCTGAGTACACTCAGTGCTAGAGACAGTTAGCGAGGCTCACATAAGAACCTACAAACTAATATTACTGCCTAAGCGGAGCTCTGGAGAGCGGAGGCTTCAGCAGAATCTTCCAATCTTCTGGCAAATTCCCTGTCTCCCATATTTTGTTAAAAAGTCTTAAAATCATACTTAATGATAATTCTGATAAGTGCTTTATCATCTCATAGCATATGTCATCCTTGCCTGGAGAAGTATGTTTGACCCCTGCGAGCGCTCTCTTTAACTCATACAAAGTTAATTCTGAGTCCAGCATACTTCCTGATGGATTCTTTTATTGCTATTTTTCCATTATTTACTAAAACTGGAATATTGTTATTTCTCTGAATCCCTCCCATCTTCCTAATCATATTCCAAACTTCATTAATTTCAATTTCTTCCCCAATTCTATTACAGAATTCTCTCCAGTAATTTCTTTTTGCTTTTCTTACCTCCCTCCTCACTTTTGCCTGTGCTCTCTTAAAGTTAATGTACTCACTAAACAATACAGATTTTCTGGCTTTCTTCATCGCTTTATTTCTTTCCCTAATTGCCTTACTACACTCGTTATTCCACCACGGGACTGCTTTTTGACTATTTATAGTTTTCTTTTTGCCAATTACTTCTTCTGCCGTATTTCTTAACACTTCACTTATTTTCTTACTTAACTCTTCGATACTTTCAATACCATCTTCTATTTCACACATCTTGTTATGACACAATTCTTTAAAAAGCTCCCAGTTGGCTGCATTAAATTTCCATCTTGGAATTCTCTCCACCAAGGTTTGTATGATGTCCACACCAATTTTACACCATATTGGATAGTGATCACTTCCCATTGTACTTTGTTTACTTACATTCCATTCACATTTTCTAGCTAGATTTTCTGACACTAGAGTAATATCTAAAGCTGATTTACGCCCATGATTTACATCTATTCTTGTAAAACATTCATTGTTAATACATACTAACCGTCCCCAATCTAACATTTATAATCTGTTTTAATACTGCCCCATAGTGTATTATGGGCATTGAAATCACCACACCATATTACTTTCTGATTTGTGTTACCTCTTATATTTTCCAATACTTCCTTACTTAACTTTTCACATGGATTGTAAAAATTAACTACTTTAATAGTATGACTCCCTTCCCAGACTTCCATCATAACCACGTCTTGGTCCACACTCACGTCACCCTGCCAATGTCAAGGGCATTGTCGTTTTTTTCATTCATGCTTCAGACACCGGTCACGTTGAAGGCGTTCCCCTAGCGCCCTCTAGAGGACGCAGCGTGGAGTTCCCTTTCGAAAGGGAACCGCTGAAAATCTACTAGCTGTGCAAGGAGTAAGTACACGAGATACAACAGAGGTGGGAACGTTATTAGCCAGAACACCACATGAAAAGTTGGAGCTAAAAAGAACAGTCTTATGATCAGAAAAAAACAGTATCAGCAATTTTACACTATCAACAGAGAACCCCAAAGATAATACAAAGTCAAGCGTATGACCATACTCATGAGTTCAACCAGAAACACATTGTAAAAAGTCAAATGACTAATAAATTCAAAAATTCTTTGACCAGGGGCTTTGAAGAGCAGCACACATGTATATTAATATCTCCCCAAATTAAAATATTGTTAAAAGTGTGGACAATTACAGATAAAATTTCAGAAAACTCCTGTATAATATACCCATGCAAGTCAAAATCAAAGCACATTACATATTTAAAAGAAGTCAATGTAATTAACTGAGTGTGACGAGAGGGGAGGGGCCGAGAGCCGTGGGAACGGAACGAAGCCGGTGGAGTAAATGCTAATGCGCGACACCAGCACCACTCACCGGTCTCGAGTCCCACGGAGGAGCTCCAGAAGGATAAAAGGAGGAGTGACGACAGTGTTGGACAAAAGAGGACCAGGCCTGGACTTTATTTTGTGTTTTGGTTCTGTTTGTGCGCGACAGTCGTCCGCAAGGGGCTGTCGCGCTATTTTGTTGGTTTATTTTATTATTAAAGTTTTGTTCAAATGTTCGCCGGTTCCCGCCTCCTTCTTCCCGGGTTTCGGCACCAATGTAACATCGTTCGTAGTCACAGGAAGAAGGAGGATTTTGATCTGTTTGTGTTTTTGTCATTTTGTTAGTTTTAGTTGTTTTAGTATGTCAAGTTAACCTAAATGAAAATGAGAAGTGTTGCCTTGGAAACTAGCTGAAATAAAATAAGTTTAAGTTTTTTAGATTTTTATTTATTTCATTTAACATTGACATTTTTATGGTTTTAGTTTTAGTTAACTATAATAAACCTGGAACACAAGTGGAGATATTTTTAATATTCTGTCGTCATTTTTGTCCATCCATTGAAAGCAAAATGTTCAAGCTTCAAAAAGTACATAAAGACAACTCTTCTGAAGATACACAATTGCACATAGAGCACATCAAATGTGATAAACATCTGGCTCGACTGTACTTGCTTGATGCGTAAAAACAAATTTAATTGGATCTTGTGTGTCAAGCAAGTATGCAGCTTCTGTTTACCAAATTTGATGTGCTCTATGTGTGTTCATCAATATTTGTGAATGCAAGCCTCAAATTAAATCAAATAAATCATTGTATCTATTCAGATGACTTGAACTGGACAGCTTGTTTCATTTGGGTTACTTATTTATGTCTTTATGAACTATTTGAAGCTTGAAAATTTTGGTTGCATGGGCTTGGATGAACATAAACAATGAGAAAATATTTAAAATTGTTCCATTTGTGTTCCAAATATGAATGGAAGAGTTATGGGTTTGGAATCATACGAGGTTATGTAAACGATGAGATATGTAATTTTTGGTGAACTACTTTAAACATTCCTATGTGTAAACTACTCGACTTTTCCACAGCATGTGCTACGAATTCACAGTTAGCTGCTGAAACCAGAGATGGTTTTACATTCACTGCAGTAGCCTACATCTTTGTTTCTCTGATAGCCTGCTCTGGTTTCAGCCTATCTTCTGAATTCAAGCACTGAACTTTCTGCAGTCAGAGGCCCAGCCGCAGCAGGCTTTACATTCGGAGATTTGATTGCTCTCTTGGGGCTATTGATTTCTTGCATTATTCATTAGGAATACATTTACTTTTGAATTTGCATAATTAGCTTTGAGTGTAACAGTTAAAACCTACCGACAGGAACTGACATCAGCCTAATTTGTTCAAAGACAACTTTTGCATTATATTTGGAATTTATAAGTGAGTTTAAGGGCTTAGCAGTAGGATTAAGTGTGATCTGTCAGCAAGGCACATCTAATGAGCATCTCGCATCACCAAATCCCTTAAACACAACAAAGGCTGCAGCTGAGCTTCCATAGTGATGGTGTTCGGACTTGGATAAGGTGTCACTCTGTGGTTTCATGTGGCTGTTTGCAGATTCAATACTATGAACAGTGTAGGGATCCAAGTCTACGGTAGCAGATGCGATTTGCATGGTGGCATCCACCTGCCCAGAATTCACAGTCCTTTGATCCACCAGAATCGGGCTCAAACAAATGCCCACCCTTCAGCTTGTATGCTAGAGAACTGGTCAGGAAAACATGAAAGAAGAAACCTACCCTTCTCCTCTCAGACTTCCTCCGATCTTGAGGCAAACTTTCAGCATCACTGGACTCTATATTCCAAGGTGAGAATATTCTAGTATACTGCATTTAAAATTGAGTCCTAAGTAATAAAGAAGATAATTTTGTTATCATGTTTAAGTACATGAAGCATAAAGAAATGTAAGTGTAACGTGACCTAAACTCTTATCGATTTTCAGTTTTACACAAGGGACAACAGAGTCTCCCTAAAGAGCCATCATGAAGAGCAAAGCCAACAGGCTTATGGAAAGATGATTTCCAGTTCTCAGAATGAATATATCCCTGCAGTCATTAAGGGACATCGACACTTTGGCTTTGGTGGATTAGTGTTGCCTGAGTGAGCACTGCAAAATTTTAAATTAAATGTAAATGTAAAATGTAAATATTATATATATATATATATATACAGGTGCATATATATATATATATATATATATATATTTACATTATTTAACTTATTTTTTTAAATGTCA